TCTAGTTTAATGCGTTCTGCAGTATGTTGTTGTTTATCAACAATATTGTTGTTAATAAGTATTAATGCCCTAATGGATATCGGGCATTCAATTAGTGGAAAAGTCTAACCTTTACTTAAATGTTAAAAATAGTTTTTAAATTTTACAAAATTTGAAACTATTTGGAAAACATGCACTCATAAAGTCAGACAACGAAGTACCGAAACTACGCGATCGTTTATATTGAAAATTGGGTAAAACTAACGACCCGTTCAGTTGTGGTGCAAATTTAGAAGACACCACGACTCACTTTATATAATATATTATACACTATAGGGTACGCGAAAATTTTAATAATAATGCATTTTTAATGAGCGGACGAATAGTTTCGTGTACTCGTGCGGAAGAGTATAAGGCGCGTCTGAGAAATACGAATCGGCGAACCTGAAAACCGAATTTCCCGTTATCGCGGATATAATAGTATCTATTAGTTATCGGATTTATGAGATTAGTAAGATTACCTAACCTTTGTAATTTTAGATTCTCAGTGGAGCGAAGAAGTTTATGGTTTTACAAAAATGTTTGTTTTATTTATCTGTGCGCAACTTTTCTGCCGGCAATTTCGCTTATATTTACAATGATAGGAGTTTTTCTGAAAGGAAATCTGAGTGGAAATATACTTTAGAGGGATCGTTTTTCAATTTTTCCAAGAATTTTCCCAGCAATTATGAAAAACCAGGAAAAAACATAGGAAAAACGGAAAAGTCGGCACATTAAATAAATATTATTAAAAAAATAATGCATATAATAATATTAATACTTATTTAATTATTTCACCATAATATGGCATATTTATTGTTGACGATGCATCACTATCAACTGAACTTCGTTCAGAATCGTTTTGTCGTGAGTAATGATTTATCGTTGCTTACGAGTATACATTAAATTACCTATAACAGTGGCTGCACCTGTTTCTATTATCCTAGGCAGTTTTAAAACCAGAAAATTTGGGATGGGTGGGCATTCGTATTTTTTTTTTCTTATATATACTCTCTTAGTCAAATTTGTTTTATCCTAGGACAGTTTTTTGATGGTGCACATACATAAATTATCGGATTATCGTTTTATTGTGGTTCAGTTATTGTATCTCTAAAGAGTTCTGTCGTTCGATAAATTGTTTTAATTAAATTATCGCGGCATGTCTGTACGTTTCGTACGAAATAAATATTTCGTTTATTTTTGAAACTCGAAAAACCGTAGAAAACTAAGTAATTGCGCAACATTATTAACATTTAAAATTAGAGTAGCATTTGTAGGCATTGGAAGTTTATGTGTCGAAAGAAAATAACGTCCACCGAAAACAAACGGTGAAGCCTAGTTTCGCTCGTAATCGTGTATATTATATAATTCGTTCATATTAGTTAATCGTTTCGTTCGGAATTTAAACAAAAAATATCATTCCGGGTACATCCATCTCGTTGAAGTTGATTTTACTATTTTGCTTTCATGAGGCTTTTTTAATAATCGTGAAACCCTGGTAAAAAAAAAAAAACGTTACTTACGAATAATATCGTTAGATTTTCAACTTTTGTTTTTCTCGTAATAAGGTCATAAATATTACTTATATTAGTATTTTCGTGACTCGGTGAAATTTTCAAAATATTCTGGCTACTTAAAACCATTTTAATTGTTCGTGGTTTTTTTTTTTGTTTTTTTTTTTATTCGGTTTTATGTGGATAAAATTGTTTTTACCAAGTGAAAATGTAACACAATTCAGTTATCATTTGTGTAGTGGTTCTATCAGAACATCGGAAATCATAAAAATCACGGCATTTCAAAACGACACGTTTAACCGGATTTCGCCCAGAAACGTTTATCGTTAGCGACGATTTGTCGTTTCGTACTAATATCAATTAAATCACTCGATATATTATACCCCGCCATTCCAACTACGTTATCCACGGCGTTTTCATTCGCTCTCGTTAAATATTCCGCGGGAAGACAAACGTACGTTTCGCCCGGCTCTGCGTACCCACCTACCCGCCTACCAAATATGTTTTCACACCATTTTTCGTCGTCGCGCAATTCGCGGTGGCAGTTCGTCGGCTCGTGGGGCGTGCCGACGACGTTTTGGGTCGTTGCGATATCGCCGATAATGTGCCCGCGGTGACCGCTGCAGTCCGACACTGCGTCGCGCGTACAACGTACGCCTGCGGCTGTCGGCGCTCAATACGATATTGTGATCCCGTTTACGTCCGTCCGGGCTACATAATATCGTATACATTATACGTATTAGTGTTGTATGCGAAAACGGCGTTTTCCGGATTTTCTCCGTGACCTAAACGGTGATGCTTTGACGGCGGGGGAAAATAAAAAATAAATAAATATTATATCGCACAGTTTGTTTCGGTTCAACGGCTATGGCAAGCGTATAGTAATAATAATAATAATAATAATAACAAAAATAATAATAGCTAGAGAAATAATCGAATTAGTTTCAACGCTCGTCCCTGTACGTATATTATTATATATAAATATAAATACGAAAACGAACGGTTTTCGTTTCCGAACTTTTAAACTGCATAAAAAACAATATATATACATGGATAATATTATATACGTGAACGGCGAAAATCAATATTTTATATTATAACTAACGAAATTCCGATTACCAACAAACGCGAAACATCGGGAATACGTCTGTTCTGTATACACGTCATTACGTTAGCTGCACCACACCGTTGTGTGGTGCGGCTTTAAACAAACAATCGGTTACAATTTATAACCGATTGTTCGTCGTAGAACGTCTCGGACGTATGGGATTACACGCACAATTGTGAAATTTCATTCGGTTTTGTTGTAACTGATTTTTACTGTTTAGGTATATTGAGACAATTGTTTTGTTTTGTTTTTTTTTCTTTTTTCTAGTACGACAAAAGCCGTTATTTTGTTAGCACCGTATTTTCGTTTAGCGGTAATTGCGTCGTCAGGGGCTAGGAGTAAAAGTGCAAACGGAAAATGCAGAGAGGAATATACATATATATATTATACATTTATTTGTCTTAATTTTCAGTGAATATCATCATGACGAAGCATAATAATAATAATAATAATAATAATATTGTAATATAAATTAAGGAACGTTATATATTACGAGGATCAAAATATGTCGAGAACGTGCATTAAATTCGGGTCACTTTGAAAAATAACATGTTGATTTGGGTAATTAAATACCTAAATACTTGGTCTTATAGACCGTTATTCGTATTACTTTTTGAATGTCAAAAATGCCGATATTAAAAAGATATAAAAAACTGATATTGCTAATGGGTGTGCCATTGTTTTATATAGATGAGTTTTGAAATTTAATCGGTATCTGTACGCAGCCATGAATTATTTTTAACAAAATTCGATACCGGGCAAAGTTCGGTGATGCGTATTTTATGATTTTCGTCAAAATTTGAACTGCTTACAAAAAAACGAATATATTACTTTAAACATTTTTTTTTTATTATTTTGCTGCCAACCTTTGCGCATTTGTCCACATGAAATTAAAAAAAAAAAAAACAAAATAAAAATAGTATGAAAATCAACAGAATGTTTTAAATATTTTGCCACGTCTATAAAAGGCTAATATAAGTAATAATATCAAGTATTTTGTACAGATGTCAGGTCTTAATGACTATTTTAACTAAATGACAATATTATAAACAAAAAAAACTGTAAAATGTTGCGTTTTGTCAACGTTTCCTATTAGATAACAAAAAACTACAATAAAGCTCTTTTTTTTAGATTTTAGCTACTTTTCAAATAGAACTGCAATTATTTACAAACAGAAAAAAAAACCACATTTCATAGTAATAAAAATAATTTCTCGCTGTGCTTATATAGTATCGAAAATAATATTTCTCTATTTCTGTTTTTCCGTATTTATTTTGTTTGTTACCTTCGAAAATCTGTAACGTAACCGCCTGGAACGTATAAAATATTATGTATAGGTTCCAGAGTTTTACATTCCAGATTTTCACGCACACTCCCCCATTTTTTAAACACTCGAAAACGTTTAAACGGCTCCATTGATTTTCTATTGTGTATTTAATTTTCTGATATTTCAAATTTGAAGACGTCGGTGCAACAACCAGACATCTCAAAATTATCATATTAAAAAATTATCAGAATTACCGTCTCCGGAGAAGTCTTGATGTCGCAACAAAAAGTAACACAGACCTCTCCATTTGTATATAATCTCCGTATCTTAAGATCGGAATTGTCCGATTGTTGCACCAATCGACGGGATTTTTTTTTTTTATAGAAATCGACAAAAAGCGATTTTTGAAAAAAAAAATGAAAACGTCTGGTTGGTTGTTGCATTCGTGTCTTCAATTACTAAACGCCAAAAAAAAAATCAAATCACATTGCCAGTTTGTCCCCGTTTGACGTACGAGTAACGAACTTGACGCTCTGGAGCTTCCTAGTTACAGCTGCCAGTGTAAATGTCTGCTACATTAATAATAATATAATAGTTATATCATGACACAAATCACCGAATATATCTGTATTATCTGCGGTTGTATAACGGTATAAACTTAGGTATATCGTGTATAATATTAAGACAAACTATACGTCTATCCGTGGCAAGCCAGTTTCTAAATATTGCGCAGTCTGATGGTAACGTTTCCGCTAATATTCGGCAACGGTATTGTCGAACTCGATAGTTGTTAACCTTTACGCACTACCCCCGTTGCCGTTACGAAATAGATTTTCGCTCAAAACGGACATGAAATGGAATAATATAATCTTGTGAAATTCCCACAGGATTAGAGAGGGCCATTTTTAAGAACAATTATTTTCCAAGGTACAGATAGTATCAGATGACAGTGTAATACACACACGCGTATATATATATGGGTGTGTGTATGTGAGTATACAACTATCTCACTTAAAACCGACAGCTTATACTCTATAGTACATTGGATTTTAGAACGGAGAAAAAACAAATAATTATGGCCTTTTCGGTTTCTATCAACAGGTAAGGTAAATATTTTGCTATTATATACACTGACGACGAATTTTTCTCCAGTCACGACAAAATTCCTATATTGTCACACGCCTATAACGAGTGTTCAAATAGTCTTTCTTTTTTTTATCTTTAGACATTCGCTTAGGAAAACAAATATAAACAGAGAGAAAGAAATAACTTTTCTCCCGGTAAACGCTATTACGATACACGTCAATATTGTTAATCCCGTAATCGCGCACGTAATTGGAATTATAAGAAAACTCATTTTGGCGTTTTATGTTCACGCGTATATCAGCCGAGGGACAACGGCGAATTTCGCCGCCACTAATACGACCGTCGTCTGGCACATAAAAAACCAAACTCAATTAAGTTGACAACGATAATATTAAAACCTTCGTCGGTATATTAGCAATATTGTCAAAGACAATAACGCTAAGGCCCTACGAATCATTTGGTTCGACTAACGTGAAGTATAAAAAAGCCGGACATACCTAATACTTTGTTACCGTGAGTAGGCCAATGTTGTCGGTGGCAAGTTTGGAATATGGACGGGGTTATTTAGTTTATATAACTGAAACAAACAATAAGCCGTTGTTCTCTTGATTTTGAGCGGAGCTCTGTAAACTGGTAAGGTTATAGATGTTTCTATCCCTTGTAGCCAATGTAATCCGGAGATCGACAAAAAAAAAAAAAAACAGTTGTACCTAGCCATTTGTTAGGTATTTTTTTATTTTTTGGATAAATTTTGGGGATCTAGAAAAATTTTTAAAATAAAGTATATACAATAGTATTGTACTATTTTGAATATTTTTTACCTAACGAAAAAGTGTTTTCCTAGGGAAACAAACTGCACGATGAATCCATATAGGTAGTGTAATCACTTTTGAGATTTTCAAAAAAAATATTTTTAAGCGATTTACAACAACACGCAGATGTACACTCAGATATTTTCAATAAGAAAGGGGGAGGGGGAAATTAAAAAAAAAATTAAAATAAAATGCATACATATCAAAATATTATAATGTATATAAAGATTTATTTTTACTTTTTTTTTTTTTTTTTTATCAAAACTTTTCAATTTTTAGGAATTGAAAACGTGACGGTATATGGAAAATATGGTCACAATCCATTCGATCTGTCCAATGACTCGTATATACGTTTATAATTATTTTTTAATTTAAAATATATTGCATAATATGTATACAAATATGAATGAAAACATTGCAAACAGTACAGATGTGTACTAAAAAGTACAGTACGGATACAGATACAATTCAAACGTATAATATTATCCGTCTGCATATTTGTATTTGAACTAAATCTCTCTACAATTTAATGCGTCGTTTATATAGAATATAATTTCGAATACCAGACATTTGACTCGAGGTAATAGAACTTCGGCAATGGCGGTATTTCCGTCATAAATTGTTTATCTATTCTCGGTGATGATGGTAAAACATCAATTCGTAAAAATATTATTTTTTTCAAATCGTATTTTTGTTTGTTTTCAATTTCTGTCGAATTTTTTTTCCCGAGATTATTTCACTGTATCTTTTTCCCGGCACTTTTGATCCCTTTTAGCTGCCGCTGGACCAAATTAGCTTAGACTCACTTGCATTTTTTTTACAGGTAGACGTAACACAATTTTAACTGTTGCTGTTTGTTGTGGAATGAACATTTTTTTTTTTCGTATTGTTTGACGCTGATATTTTGTTTAAAAGTATAAGAATCATGAATGTGCTTTAAAGTGGTATCAAATTTCACCCTCCCCCTCCCAAATCATTTCGATGCCAAGTTTCATGTTTTCACGGGAAATACCGGGTTTTAAATATCCATACAGTCTAAGAAACTGAACTGTTTTCGAGGATATGTCATTAAAAAGTTTGAATTGCCAATCACGCAGTCTGTTTGTATGTCAGCAAATATCTCAAGAACTCTGATGAAACTTTTTTGTTCGATTGCATATCGTTACCGGAATGTCATAATAGGATTCTTTTTATATCCTAAATAGGGAAGGAGTATAAGACCGTGATTTAGGGCAATAGGCGGGAGTAGACACGATAAATGGTTGTCAATGTTTTTTTTAATATAAAACCAAAATAAAGCTATAATAAATTTAATAAAACTGACAACCATAAATATTTTAGATAAATTAAAAAAAATAATAATATTAATGATTAAAAATCAGGAAAAAAAACTCTTATAGTGAAATTAATTTAAGGTTCTACGCTACACTAAGAATACATAATCGCATGAAAAGTTATTTGCTTTAAACTATCGAAGGTATCAATATTTACGAAATATTATAGTATCGCATTGTAATATAACATAAACAACAGTAAACAAGTCTAATTTAATATTCGCCACATAACAGGTAATGTATACCTTTGGACGTAAAACTTGGTGAGCAACTCGAATTTCTTATATATCTCGACTATATACTATTATTATTATGGCCCAAATTTGAAAATAAATTTGTTTAGTAAAATACAGTTTTACAAGTACATAGAACATTACCTAACATACAGATATTTCGCATATATTTTAGAAACTACATCCGAATAATCTCTTGATAAAATAATTTGTTTTAAATTAATATTGTTTAAGTATAACAATGATTTAAAAAAAATCATCAATTCAGTCGTATATACAGGGAAAGAGGGGACACGGGTTACCTTATTCTTGATTTAGCATGTTTTCAATTGTTTTTTAATCACAATCGTTTCGTGTTATCTTAAATTATTTGAATATTGATAAATTATTTAAAAAAAAAAATGATCAATATATATTTATTTTCGTTGATTAGGTTAGTTGTCTATTTGTAAATTTTACAAAACTGTTTAGATAGTTTAAATATCCCCGTTTGTTATGAAAAACTATAGGAAAATTAAAAAAATTGCCACCCCAATATTATTCACCAACTAAACAAAATTTGCTGCCATAACCGCTCCCGAATTTAATGATCGAAACAAGATTTTTGTTAAAAAAAAGTTGTTAACAAACAAAAACAATAATCACATGATTGTAAAACCTATTATACATTGTTATCTCGTAATAACTCGTGATACTCAGAATCGAAAATATACACCGTATAAAACAATTCAACGACTTGTAGGTAAATATGAACAAAATAAACAATTTTTCATATTAAACTGAATTGAAAAGTGAAAAATGTTTAATACCAATAATGTAGGTTAATATAAATGTTCTGATTAATATTAAAAATGTTTCAAGCGAATTAAATAAAAAAACCAAAAAAAAAAAGGGTCGAGATAATATATTAATAATTTATTTGGTCGTTATTTTACAAAATCATCGCAACAACATTAAAATAGTGCAATTAAAATATAAAAATAAATAAATAAATAAAAAAAAACGCGTAAAATAGTTTCGTATTTCAAGAGTACTCATTAATCCTTTTGAATTTATGTAGGTACCTACGTCTGCTTTTTTTTTTCACAGTCAACAAAACAAGCACTTCCATCTTCAGTACTGCAGTGTACAAATAATATAAAAAGATGAAAAAAAAAATATATGAAACAATTTGGTATTATTCGCGAATGTTGACTCAACGGATTAATTTTTTTAAATTGTATTTATTTACAAAACAGGCCGTGGCCCAAGTATAGAAAAACTCACAAGTTAGCTTTACAGATAATATATTCTACTATTATTATGATTTGAATTATTAATATAAATTGCACAAGTAAATTAATTATACAGTATTGATTAAACGTAAATGGCGGCTATGTACATCATCATAAATATCGGTTGGCTACGTGATTAGCTAGTGGTGCAGTGTATAATGTTGAAAGAATAAGGTGATCTGGACCGAAGGTAAGGCGTTCTAAAACAATTTCGGCTAAGTAACGTGGGACAGGCGATCATTTTTAAAAACATAACATAATATATCGTTACACATTTAAATATATATATATTTTTAAATGATAACTATTATAAAGACAGGTCCGCACAATTATAGTTATAGGTATCTACTATCGTGCGAGCTATCGCGATAGTATATACCTATAACTATCACCTCTTTGTCTGCGGCTGCCATAAAGAGTTTGATCGACGTTTTGTTGGGCCATGCCCTTAGATTTTACATCCATGATGTTCGTGGACGTCCCGGATCTCTTCTTCCATTATTTCTTCTTTGAATAATGTACTGCGGTAAGCCATATTTTGTTTTATTTTTCATAATATGACCGAGATATTAGAGTTTGTGGATCATTGAGGAGCTCTTTCGTTTTATTCATCTTTCGGAGTTCTTCCTGGTCGGTTATATGTTGTGTCCACAATATGCCGAATATTCTTCTATATGTTCTCATCTCGAAAGCCTCTATTTTTTTGCACGTTGTCTCCTCATTTCGCGTCCAGGATTCGGCCCCATAAACGGTATAGAGGATATGCCGAAACTTAGGAGTCTTATTTTCGTTTTAATGGTGATATTATGACTCTTTAAGAGTTCACTCATTTTTTTAAAAACTTCTGTGGCTTTTGCTCACGGTATTATATATATATATATTTAATTTCAGTGCTTATTGGTATACAATATACAAATTTCATTCGTTTTTCAGGAATTTATCGGGAACATATCTATATAATAACGTATTGAAATTTCGTTTATTTTTTTTTTTTTTTTGAAAAACATGAACAATTTTTTTTCGTTCCTTTTTTCTAAAATAAATTTACCTGATTTAAATAATCGTTTAATAAAATATGTATTTACGGTTATTTTTTCCTCATATAGTGTTTATAAACAGGTTTTATAGTTTTTCTTTAGTAGTTTTATACGTCGGATTTATTTATTATAATTTATAACTCTTTTAATCCGGGAATTAAATAACGTTTTTTGTTAGAATACATTTTCTTCGTATTATGTATTAACAATGTAATTAAATGTTTTTTAACTGTCACAAATTAGAAATTATCTCTACTCATAGGTGCAATTTGGAGCGTCTAAAAAAGGCTATGCCCAATTTGGCCAGTGCTAAGCCCCCTTTGAGTAACGAGAGACCAAATACGTTTAATTTAATGTAAAATTATTTTAACATTGCCCTATCGTCAATTTAAACAAATTATTGATCAATGGTGAGATACAAATTGTATTTATATTAGATTCTGAGCAGAGCGAAGAAACTTATAATATTACAAAGATATTTTTTTTTTACGTTCTTTTTTTTTATAAGTGTGGAACTTTTCTATCAGAAGATTTTCTCGAATTTCTAACTATAACACCTTTTCTGAAAGAAAATTGGTGTAATGAGGTACTCTAAGAAGGTTTTTTTTGATTTTCTTAGGAGTTTTTTCATCAATAAGGAAAACCCGAGAAAAAAAAAATGGGAAAATATAAGAAACATAGGTATTAATTAAAATATATTATGGCCTTCTTTTTTTCTATGAACAACTTTTCTATCAGCAATTTCACTCCACCTTTTAATGACAGCAATGTTTCTAAAAGGAAATTTCACTGAAGAGGTACTTAAAGAGGTCAATTTTCGATTTTTCTGGAATTTTCTCATCAAATGTGAAAAATCAGTAAAAAACATAGGAAAACAGGAAGAAAAACATACTAAAATTGAAAAAATCGGTACAACATTAAACAAATATTATTAAAAAAAATATGTAAAGCCTATTTAATTTTTTTATCACAATTTGACATACATATCGTTGAAAAAGCATCACTATCAACTGAACTCCGCTCAGAATCGTTTTTTCATAAACAACGATTTATTATTGCTTACTGATGTACATTAAATTATCTATGACAGTGGCAACACCCGTCCCTATTATCCTAGGACGTCTTTTTAAATTTGTTATTGTATTGTCATACATACTGTAACTGTAATCGTGTATTCAAATAATTTATGAGTTGATTCACCTTGGTTGATGCCATGGACTAATATAATGGATATATCTATTATCTATATAAAGGTATAATGGACTGGTCACGAACAGTTTATCAGTGGCCACAAATTAGTGTACGGCAGACAAGTGCCGGTGGTCGCAATGCAGACAACGAAGTTTGTAATAGACTGCCTATCTAATCGAAGATACAAACGCGTGCAGAAACAACAATATAATAGTATGCGATTTTATAAGACAGCAGTAACATGTATACAGCTAATAATAAATCATACGAAATATTATTTTTTTCCAATAAGAAAGCGGTGAGTCATATGGGTTTACACGAAAATTACATAGGTAAACGTTTAAAAAATAAAAATAAAAAACCCGAACCTAAAACGTATACCAACGAATTAAACGCTTGACATCTCTTGTAAAAAATAACTCTTTAATTTTTTTTGTTTTTTTGCGATAAAAAATAAATGTTTATATTATTTCGCAATTGTATATATTTTATTGATTTCTGTGTTTTTTCTTTTTTGTATTATTATTATTTCAAGAGGGAAAGAGATTTTTAACCGGTGTAGGGTACTTATGGATAATTTTTTTTTAGTGTATTTATTGTAAAAATATAAAAATGCAATAATCATTATTACGAATATTATAATGGCATACATTTCATTTTATAATATTTCTGATCTTATGTTTTAACGGGACCTAGTCGGATAACTTGTTAACGTTTACAACTTTTATATATGAATAAAATAAAGCCGAGTTAATTCCACCATCTCTAACTCAAGAACGGCTGGATCGATTTTGATAATTTCTGATTTGTTAGAATCGTCTCTACCCCGAATATTAAAATATCATCAAAATTCACGTACAAAAAAATTATAGGGATTTTCAGGTTTATTTAATATGAATATCTTATTGTCTATTTATTTTTTTTTTAGTTTATTCGAGGGTTGCCATGGAAAAGAAAACTATTATAATTATTATTACTACTATTATAATAGTAGGTAGTCTACCGAAAGTAAAACGATAAACAATCGAATACTACATTCTATAATATTATAATACTATACTAATTTTTTTAAACAAATTGTGAATTTTAGCTTAAAATGGTAAGAAAGGAGGCGAAATTTGAAAACTTTAAAATGCATACTAACGCCATGCATATACAAAATTGTATCCCCTTTATTTGGAGAATATGTTCGGGTGTTCAAAACCATCGTCCCTAATAATGAAAGTGTAATTTATCTAGTTTCTAATTTTAAAATTCTCAACAGTTTACTTCCTATATCCATGTTTTTCTTCTGGAAAACACCCTATCGATTTTTAAAGAATGTAAAACTGTTCACATTATTGTACTTTATTTGCAAAATTATTCTAGATACCCAAAAGTTTTTCTAAAAATTATGTAAAATAGTTAACAGTAAAGGACGATTCAGCGTTTTTCGTTACTTGCTTAGACACAACAGGAAAAAAAACGACTTGAAGTCGTTACCTGTTTACGTATTCCTCTCTGAATCGTTTTATGATTGAAATAGTTTATCATCACTTTCAGCATCTAATAGCATAACCATGGTGTTAAGTATTTCGGCTTTTTCATTTTTGCGATTTTCGCTACAGAAAGATCGATGTACACTACTCCAACGTAGGGTACGGAACAATGGGGACGACGAGTGGCATACTCTTTGTTTTAGAGTCCCTCTATAATCGGAATTCGAGATCTGATGAGAAAAAAAATATAGGAAATATTATATGAGGGTAACCGTTAAGTGGCGTTTTAAACGGTATCCACTCGGCGTTTGACGTGTTTACGACCGCCTTGTCCTGCTGCTGGGGATTTAGGACCTCGGAATCGTTTTTCGTTTAAGTTGTGTGCGGTTGAAGTTGGCCAGTAATCATAAATCTGAACTTCTAAAACCGCGTTATATAAACCGAGAAGTTCGACCACCGTCACCACAACAACAACATACTCGGGTAACTTTTAGAGTGACTTTTCCGAATGTTCGTCAAGTGAAACAATAGTGTTTGTCAAAGTAAAGTGACGGCGTATTTTTATTTATTTTTTTTTCATCTCTTATTCGCTTTTTCTCGTCCGCTATCCTGATATTATTTCCTCGGTCTCATAATATATTTTTTCGAGGGCGGTTATCCAACCCCGGAAAACCATTATAGAACACAATTAGAACAACATAATTCACTGCATCTATACTACAGTGCGGTCCGGCTCTTAAGTGTTTTTTCTACTCTTCAAATTCTAAACCGACCCGTTTGTGAGTCATCGATGGTAGATCAATATATATATATATTTATCCTATATGTATATACAAGTACCAAGAGCATTTCGCATTCGAAAGTTTTTTCGCGATAATATATTGAAAAAGGTTATAATTTCCAAAGTGCAGCGTTCGCGCGCGCGGTAACAAGTATTATAATTGTTATTAATGTGTGCAAGTACGTGGCACTTTACGAGACATACATAATAATATTTTAACGAATACGAGTGGAGTATAATGGAAACATTTAAAACCCAGGATTCAAAACACAAATAAACTGTGCGTTTCGTTTCAAATCGTGCGCGACAAAATTACATTGCATACGGAGGGAACCGACGACTTTCGGTATGTATATACGTTCCTATTCTGTGTGTTCGAAACAATTTAATCGACCGAAATACAAAGTAGGTATTTAAAGTCCACCGTTCGTTAACTCCGCTCCCTTTATATATTCACATTAAAAAAAAAAAAATCGGGGGTTGTGATGTCGTTCGCTATCTACCAGTAATGTTTCGAAACCGAAAAACTTATAACAATTATAAGTATAGGTGTTATTAATATACCTATGCACTTTTTTACCCGATCGATAAATGTATACGATTGTATTAAATAAATATGGATCAAAAAGGTTCAAAAAAAGCTTAAATGGTTCTAAAATTAAAAAAAAAAAAAACAGAAATCAAATTCACTTAAAATCTTCCGTGATAATTGCTGGTTTGTAATAAAAAAAAAAAACACTCTGTATACTTCTTTGGTATAATTTTTCAGTACCTTAGAAGACTAAGAAAGAATGAAGGGTGTGAGGGAAACCCCACCACACAGAACGTATAGGAAAATGTCCAGCGGAACTAGACATTGAATTAAACGAGTTAAACGCCGAGTTAAAATAAAAATTACCGTACAACGCATGGAACAAATCGATTACTATAAGTAATTAAAACATAATTTTATTAGGTTTTTGCATTTTCTTTGGGTACCGAAGGAATAAATAATAAAATACTATTCGTTTTAATCGTTACATATTATCCAATTAAACAAGAAAATGTACTTCTCCATACCGATGTGTAAATACGAGTGTTTTAAACATTATCGCTTTAGTATCTTACGTTATTTACCTTAGCTTCTCCGGTTTTTTTCCGAACAACGGTATAAAAACTCGCAACGTTGGTTGATGATAACGTTCGCTAACGCCGACAAAAAAATATAAGTATACTTTAGAAGGTACTAAAAATATCATCGCAGTACGTGTACAATGTACACAAATATTGAAAGCTGGCGATTTTCACTCGTACATAATAATATTAATATATCTGCTGTACTAGTACGTCTGAACAAAATGCCTGAAAAATTGGCAAGTTGTTGGAAATCCGTGTAAAATGTATAGGTATATACTGATGTAAATTTTAATTTTATAATTACTGCGAAAGTTTTTCAATATGGCTACGGAACAAAATATTAATGCATTTTATGACATTAAATCTGGTATGGATATACCATGGTATATATCTGTTCTACTCGTACGTAAATAACAATGCATAAAAAAACGTGCGCAAAATAATAAATAACGGTTGATATACTATTAATTATTATACGCATTCTAAGTTCGAACGGTTTATCATAATATTGTCACTGCGCTGTTATCATTTTAGTCCGGATGATTTCGGATGACGCCATCCAGCGGAATTTTCGATCGTCAAGTGACGTATAACTGTAAACTGCACGGACGAATGACCTATATATTTTTAAGTTGTATCTGTTCAAAAAAAAAAAACCAATTAAATTTCATCTCTGTACTTATATTACTATCGGACGGCGGATAATGCTGGGAGCTCGCGGGTCATTGAATCGAGTATAAGGGGGCAAACCGGCGGTACGGAAAACGTGAGTCTGGGAGTGTAATGGACACGCGGGCGACGCCGACGAGGCCTTTGATTTATAAATGATATTACGAAAATGCGTTTGTTGCCTCGTTTTTAGGTGAGTATATTATTATTATAGGTTGTACACAAAAGCAAAGTCGAGAAATAAATAATACACACACACATCCATATATATATAAATAAATCTATATGCGGTTTAATGTACAGTGTGACCATTATAATAGAAACGCCTCCGTGAAATATATTACCCGATAAAAAATAATATAGTGTAAATAAATAAATGATTTTTGGTATTTCACAAAAACCGAACTGCGAATATATTTCGCATGTTGATAATATAATATTATCTACTGTCACACTTTCTGCAGAACTCCGCAGTATTAAAACGATAAAAAAAAAAAAAAAAAATGAAATATTTTTGTCAAAAGATCGCGCTCGCTTAATTTTAAATCTAGTAAGACTAATGGTGTTTTATATATAGAACCCTTATACACATTTATTCTTAAATTAATATTTACGACGTAACTTAGAAAATGGAAATAATATCGAATTATGTCTGCAGTTAAACGAGGATAAATGGTCAATGATTTAACGATTCAAATTGCAGTGTTTTCCTCGGGTATGACATAATGTATTGCTATTATAAGTATACTCGCAGACCTAATATTATTGCATTATAATCCCGGACAAGTTGAATGTTTTTTTTTTTTTTTCGTAATTTAAACGCACGCCCGTTACTTATACAATATACTATTTAAAACACTCCGAAGCGTTAAAATTGAAATTAAATACTGACATATAATAGAGGCGCCCATAGAAGGGGGCATTAGAGCCCTTTGGATTTCGGAAATACATATTCAATACCTACGTTAAAAATTTAAAAGTGATTGTACGGAAGAAAAAAAAAATCTACCGTTACATACTCGCCCCTCCACTGTGGATAATTTTCGCGGGCGCCAATACACGGCTCGGGTATAACAATGCAATATTATTTTCTTAACCTGCAGTGTAGTTTATATAAATTCGAGAATGTATACGCATGAAATTACATTCCTAACCACCTAAACTCTTTCGTTTATAAGAAAGAACATTTACCTATTTATTTACCGAGTAACGATAAAAAAAAAAAAAAAAAAAATAAAAAAACAATAATAATAATCGATTTTGAACTCACTATAATATTGTTATAAGCTCGCGGCGGCGGCAACGAGAACCCGTGAGAAAGAACGAGGGTTTTTAGTCTCCGAAAAAAAAAAAAACGTCGCGTCGTTTTCGTAATGTCTGATATGTTATTCCGCTTTGGGTGAACATATTATAGTATTTTATTATTTTTTTTTAATATTATTTTTTTCGCTCTCTCTCTCTCTTTGAGCTCGGACACAGATATCCAATTTATAAACGTTATATCACGTTCTCGTATAACCATCACATCCAGAAATGGTAAACACCAGTTTCGAACTGCTGCAGAAAACCTATATACGCGTTTTGTAATAAAAACGTATATACATGTTTTCTCGTCCGATCCGGAATGTTATTACACACGCGGCTATGTTTGCGTATTTTTTTTTTTTCTTTACTAGTGTATACCGGCTAAACTTCAATATGTCGAGTAGGTATGTAGTTATTTGCCACCCCGCCTATTGGAAAACTGCAAGTCTGACGACGTTTTTAAATCAAATGTCCGTTAAAAAAAAAAGTGGTTTTTTTTTTTTTTGGTGTCTGCGTTTTTTTTTTCTCGGTGATTACAGCGTTTCCGATTTTGTACCTACATATCAGCTAACTGTAAATACTATTTCTGTGAATTTCACCGCGAGAGTGCTAAATACGACTTCTTGATAACCCTATTATATTATATCATTGTGTAGCTCGATCGTGCGTAATTTATGTACCGAGGAACAGTGTAACGGTTTAAATTTGAAAACCACCGATGAAAGCGACGATAACTTCCGCATAGCTATGTAATTTATACGCTTTGCAAAAAGTCTCCGCGCGTCTATAAATCGTTTGAAATATCACTGTAATAGAATCAAACGTTTCGTTTTGTTTCCAAACACGATCGCGTCATTTATAAAAATAAAAACACACGAACTGTGTGTGCCGACCTTCAAACATAATAAAACATATTATTATATAGGTATTGTACACGCCACGTTCGTATTATTATCGAGGTGGATTTTTACGAAGACAATCATCGAAGAACGTGGAGCATATATTCATGAATTATATCGAATCGGTTAAAAATTGATTTGAAAGTTCAATTAACTTCTTTAACTCGAGTTTAATCAATTCGTTTTTTCGTTTTGGTCAAATTGTTATTACCGTATTTATTGTAGGTGCCCGTGTGGGCACATAATATGGGCATATAATAACAAATGTACAAAATTAGAGCGAAAATGAGTACACCTAAAGTATATTATGCGATTTTGGGAAAATAAAAATAATAGCCGAGAATGTAGAGCGTACAGAGTAATTCGGTTTATAAATGTATACATATATATATATGCATAACGCGACGATAAAACGATTCTGAGCGAAGTTGTACTAATCGTGTTTTTTCCCCGCGTTATCGAGGTTGTCCGGATTTAAAAATCAAAATACAAAAAAAAAAGGACATACAGGGGTTAAAGTCGGTGGTTGTTTGAAATAAAGTATCGCCGAACAAAAATTCCGCGTCTTTTGAGCCAGGTACTCCGGGAAAAAAACCGCGTGCATTTTCGCTAACCGGAAAAGTATTATTATTATTATTATTTTTTTTTTTTATTCTTAGAAAAAAAACACACGGCTTTATAAAATTACGTGACAATTTCTTAGCAATGCTCGGGCATGTAAAACAAGTCGAATCGGCGAAACACAAAATCAAATGTTAAAAACAGTTCGACTTTCAAATTGGTCGACTCGTTAACAATGCCCGGCCTTAAATGCGACATCGTTGTGTCTATTTCATTCGAACATCTTACGTTGCGCCGTCGCGTATATTAAATTTAATAAAAAAGAAAGAAAAAAAAGATGTACACGAAATATTCCGTTAAAACGATTGCGCGTGTCACGCCTTGTGTCTCGTCGCGTTACGTACACATGCGTAATACTGTACCGAGACGACGACGTTATAACGTATATAAATAGAGACTTTACAGAGAGACAGTAATACATTTTAGTAGAACGCATAGTGTACTGGCTATAATAATTGCATATTATTATTATGTAGAGCGGTCAATATTATTAATACTTAAACGGGTATGATAATACCACGCACAGAAGTCACTCTGTCTAAACGTAACACGCATATAATATTGTGGCGGGTACCCACTACACCGCGAGTATAATAACAGGAGTTTGGTTGGGTACCCGTATACGCACGTGTGTTATTACTTCCCGTCTTATCATTTTACCTCGCAGCGTAGTCATATTATATCAAAGCGATTACGGCGCGGTTTATTCGACCGTTAAATTATGTCCGGGCGAACGCTATGTCGCGAGACATTAAGGGGCGCGAGTTTCTTTTAGCCCGGTATTAAAATTACATTAAATGATCGACGTTGTCCGTCTTGTTGTGATTAAATCGATCAACACGATTACAAATATATAAGCGAGTACGGTCGGGCGTGTATTCGGGGCGGAGAGCCGGTGTGTACGCTTACGCCTGTAAACAGCGGAAATCTGTTTAGGGTGCACGGTTGACATCGACCAATAGTATATGTTTACGCGCGTGCCTATTGTGTATGCCATTTTTTTACGGCATACACGATGCATTTTTTTTTTTTCACTATCCATAACAAAACAGTTGTATCTCGCTTTTATGAAAAAAATGTTTTGGGCAGGGGGCAGGGTGGCCGGACTATATTGCCCCGAGGCGTCAAATGACCAAATACGGACTCGGCCACTTGGGTGTACGTACGGTGTGACGGCGGCGGCTCGACGCGTTTCGGTTGCGAATTGCGCATTTGCATACACCGCGGCAGTACTTACCTGTAACATAGACAAATGTAAATATTGAAATTCGAAACTCGACTGCGCGACTTTTATAGCCGGATTCCTGCGCCGGGTGCATTGTGTAACCGATAAAATCGCAGCAATGACAGCTGCGCGCCGCGTATCACAGAGTTTCCATCCTGTCTATATGTGCACCCGCACAGTATGTTGTAATATTCGTCCACGGATATAACGAAAACTAAACGGTTGTTTTCTCGAACAGTTCACCGTGGATCGTTTTAACATAATACGCGGGTAATAATAATATTTCGAATTGTTATTAGAAAAATAAAAAAGACCGACATACTTCGCACGATGTGTGGGCCGCTGTTGTAGGTGAGAAGTCGGGAAAGTAGAGGGTAATGTATATCTGTGCGCAAACAAAAAACGATTCCAAGCGGAATTCGATTGATAGTGTTGCATTTTTAATAATGTATATTTATATTATGGTAAAATAATTACATATATATATATATACATTATGTATTTTCTTTAATGATATTTGTTTAATATAATACGTATTTTCTCTTTTTTTCCAGGTTTTTCCCATTTATTATGAAAACAGCTTGGAAAATCAAAAAATGACCTCATTAAAATACTACTTTAGTTAGACTTATTTTAAGAAACATTTTTACGCTTGACAATTCGAACAAAACCTATCGTAAAAAAGTTGTTCACAGATAAAAAATAAACATCATTGAAAAAACCGAATCATTCCTCGATCCGCGCAGAACCTAAAATGTAGTCATAACTAGGACTCCGACGTTATTGCACTAAAAATGTTATAAAATTGATAGCATTATTGCTATGGAAAACACCCAAACATTTTTTTTTTTACCAAAACAAAATATTTTATGAGATGGATTAAGTAATTGTTTAAGTAATATTATAAAGTAATTTCATTAGATAGGTTTTTAAACAAGTATATTTTTAAAAAAAATACCAAATCAAATTTTCATCGTTGAAAATCTGGTAATTAATCCGGTCTTCTTATTTTTTCAGGAACCCACAAATAATTTGATCAAAATTTAAAACTTTTTATTTAAACTGTTTTTTTTGTTTTTTTTTGAAACATTATTGCACTGTACTATAAATTATTTTTTCAGGTTTTTAAACTCGAAAGACCTTCTTCGATTAAAAGAAAACAAATTCTTGTAGACGGAAAATATTTCCCGTAGTCATATTATAGCGTAATGACCGCGCATCTACTAATCAAATTGGTTTTCCAGTTATCGCTGACGACGACGGTTATGACTCATGACATTTTTAGCCGACCGTGATAAAGATAACATCGCACGTTCGTACTATCAGAACGGCGTTGACGTGTGTTCGAAAATCATGTCCCGAGAACGTCAAGTGTACGAATGAATATTATATTCGAAAAATAAAAATTAATCAAATGTTTTAAAAACAATTCATGAATGCTATAACACGCCGATAATTTTTGTTTTCTCTGTCAGCTGTGTCACGTGTGATTTAAATTATCCTTGGTACAAGACCGCAACAACTCAAAATTTCGATTTTTTTTTTTTTTTAGTAACAGCTAAGATGCGAAGGCTACTATTTTTCTCGTAGCATAATCAACACATCCGTAAAACATTTGTTAAAGTACATTTATTTAAAATAAAACATTAACATAAAACAAAATGTGGCAGTTTAGTTATTCCGATTCCTATTACTAAACCGCCATAAGCTCATTTTCTATATAGATTAGTGTGAAAAATAATAAGTTTCAGGTAAAATTGATAATCTAAAAGTACTAAGTATTATTTAGTATAAACTAAAGCTTTAAAAGTGTCCATTTGGGAGCAGATAATATTTTAAAATTGAATTTTCTCAAAACTATGTTGATGGAGTTGTGGCGGTGTCGTACCAAGGATGCGATAATAGGTATAGCACCCAAAGGCCTAATTCCGCATTTCAACGATTACGAGTCTCTGGCAAAGCAACCGATCATGTGCACACATTTTATAAACAACAAGACTACTATTTACGTCTCGACTGAACATTTTTTTAAAACGATTTCCTTTTTTACCGTGGACAAATACGTGTTAAAGTTTAACTTCATAGTTCCATTAGTTTTACCGTTGATACATTATTAATAAATGAAATTATAAAAAATGCATACAGTATGGTTAGGTTTCTCATCTTCTTTATTAAATATACAATGGATCCCTTCGCCCTAAACCCAACCAGACGGTCGCAAATAGTTGAAGTGCCGAATGCATTTGTCGCTGTACTACGCGTAAAACAGACACAGAAAACAAATGACAAGGGGCCTCCTAAATTATATGTTATTCCTCGTAAAAGATCAATACTATTGTAATATGGGATTTTTTTTGTCTAAAAGAACATATTATCATTAATGCGTTTTCCGTTGTTTTCTCTGTACATTTTTCTTTTTCTTTTATTTGTTCGACTTTCAGTAATCGTCTCTTATTAAAATGTTAGTTTCTTTCATAATTTTTCGAAATTCTCCCATCAATTTTTTTTCTGACAGTATCGGTGCTATTTTTAACATGCCGTCTTACGAACACTTGAAATTCGAACCCATGCTTTTTGAACACACGACTCTCTTCTCAGAATGGTAGTTGGTAGTTAATTTAGAAAATGAAATTTTGAGTTATACCACTTTTCCGATCCACAATCGTATATTCGTTTACTTATATTTGCAAAATTGAATTTTTAATCAGGATAATCAGTTATCAAGGTATTAAGGATAATAATAGATCGCTGTAAATGAAATGCACCAGCACAAATTTCAAAAAAAAAAATGACAGTATTACATCGCAATTAATTTAAACGGTGCTTCGATACTAAAATATAGTGTATTAACTTTAAAAAATTAATTAGGTCACATTGAAATGATTTTTTTTTATAAATATAATGTTAATATTGTTTTTAAATATATAATTGTAATTTTTAAAAGCACCACAAATCTCAAATTTTACGACGATAGATAAAACACAAGTTTTTGTTTTCATATTGATAAATACAAAAAATCTTTAAATTATCAATTTTTGTAAAGCTATTCAATTCAAATACCATCGTGTAATTAATGGTAAAAAAAAAAATAAATATTAAGTGCAACACGCCGTAATTTGTTTTTGTAAACGTAAGTGAGTTCAAACGTTTATAATAAAATCCGTTAAAAACGCGGACAGTTGTAATTTGTTTTGTATATAATTACAAAATGAATACGAAGTTTAATTTATCAAAAACAATCCATGTAACTTAACCAAACCTAACCGTTAACGAAGTCAATGGAATTTACGAAGCGAAAATCCGTAAACGTATTTAAATGCATCATGCAAATAACAATCTTCTATAGATTTGTCCTAAAACACAATACGATTCAAAACATAACTGAAATATTATTTTTCTAAAAGTCGTATACGTTTATCGCTAAAACGGGAATAATATAAATCGTTTATTCTAAACAAGTTCTTCTTTTATTTATCTACGCGCAATACACTACACGTTTATATTATTATATATATGTGTATACATATAATATTATTTGATTCCTGTATAATATTTGTTTAAATAATAAAACGTTCTTTATACATTATGGACGACCTAAAAAAAAAAAAAAAAAAAAATACCAGAATATGATTAGTAATGTTGTACGTTATTTTGCCGAACATATTCATCTTTTTAACTTGAATTGATAAATAAATCGGTTAATTGATTATGTAAATAATTGATTTGAATTTCGGTTTCGTGAGCTTGATAGTCATTAATATGCCTAGTAGAAGTATGTCACTTCTATTATATTATTATATATTTATTACTTTATTAGTTACATTAGTTTTTTGCGTTTTGCATTTTAATATTTTAATTTAGATATTATAGTATATTAAACGCCCACTCATAAAGCAATCGGTGTTATGTACAAAACAATGTGTATGTATCGTTTAAATAATAATAAGTTATGAGTGAGCAAACAAATGTACAATATTTTTAGGTCTGTCTTATTTGTCGGTAACTAGTGAGTGATAACATGTCTGTTATTCATTAATAATTATTAATAATCAATAAACAAATAAATATTATAATTTTACCGTATGATAAATAATAATAATAAATAAATAAGTTATGACGAATTTATGAAATATACATCGTAGTTCGATATCAAGTAGATGAAATATAGAATAAAATTATATTTTACTATTCCGCTTTTTTTTTTTTGAAAAAAGTCTTTAAATCTAAATGATTACGTGGTTTTTTACTAGATGAAATATATTTAAATTTTCTATTATCTTATCTATATAACTTTAAAATTATCTTTGCATAGTACAATGTTGATCAGAGTAATATATAATGGATATAATGGAAATCTTGCAGTGTGTAGGACGAAATATATACAGAAATAAATGCGTAAAATAGAAACCAAAAAAACATACCTTATACAGTATAATGTATATATGATACTATAGTATATACAAGGTTAAGCAGTATCTTCGATTCAAGAATCTTAAAAACATATCTTAGATACAATTGTATCTTTTATCACCATTCATTATACAGTTCTGGAAAGTCTCGAGTATCGGGGTATCGTATATCGTGATACTGAAATCAATGCATCGAGTATCGTGTATATATGTATATGAACTCGTTGTGAAACATGAGGTATCTAGTCTATAGACGCTGAAAGTGGGGTCAATTTGAGTAATTGGTCAGGTTTAAAAAAACTCATTCAAAATTTAAAGTGGTTGTACGAAAATGGAGTAGGAGGGGAATTTTTGGGAATTTCGAAAAACGTTTCAAATAAATAATCACCACATCTAGTGTCTTGTATTTAGATACTGAAAATCTATGTAACCAGTAGCGGCGAAAACGATTTTAATTCGTGAGATAGTGCGATTTTTTTCAGCTCACCTATCCCTGAGATGGATCATTAGTTCGTCCGTCCAAAAGTCATTCAGAATGTGGTGGTGACTGAAAAAATTACAATTGCCCAGTTCGATAGATGCCGATCCACTTACCCATCATTGGGTACATCATTTTTAATATTATAAATAGTGGTAATGTGTGTCGGCGATGAGTATTGACGATATCGCGGGCGTCGGTTTTTTTTTTTTTTTTTTTTTTAAATTCATATTTGATTCGATTGGAGCAAAAACGTCTATAATTATATCTTTGGAATTACTAAAGAAAACGATGTTCTTACGTCAACCGTTATTACAACGGTCGTTTTCAATATTGGCTCAAGGGTTTTCAGTTTCAAATATCGAATAACGGTTACGGGTTTTGTCTTGGCAATAATATTAATATCGGGTTATCGGATAAAAGTCCATATTGTTGCAGCGCTGTAATTGTGATTTTCCACAATTGAGCCATTCATTCTGAAAATTATCGTTAAATAATATTATATTATTACAGTTTTACAGTTGGCTCGTGTATTTTTAATGAACAACCGGTGACACAATGTTTCACGAAAACATTTAATTATTTTTAAATAATCTTCCGAAATAGCCGTATAGCAGTGGTTTTAAACATTGCCATTGATTCGTGAAAGTAGGTAGGTACTTGTTGAAATCATATATATATATATACGTATAAATACGTATTTACCTTCGGCGAATTTGAACAGTTTATCAAATACAAACTAATTTAATTTCAAGTTGGACTTTCAGAAAACGTCCTCTTTTTTTTAATGGGGGGAAAAAAAAAAAAAAAACAATTACTTAAATCGGTCCACTGCAGAGTTACGAAGCAAAAAAAAAAAAAACATCGGAATGTTCAAGAGTATTTCCCATCATGTTATTTAGCGTCTCTGTCATCTGATTAATTCCAACTTAAAACATTACATAGAAAACAAGTTGTAAACTTTAAGATGTCGCGAGCAAACGAAACTATGTTCATACAAAAAAAAAAAAAAAAAAATCATATTTGTATCATTCTGTACATATATATATATATATATGTATAGGTAGTCATATTTTCGATTAAAAGGTTAATTATATAATTCTGCGAAATGTATATGACTATGTTTTTTTTTTTTTTTTTTTTAATTTTAATACCTACCGCGAATCTTTGTAGATTTTGACTCGCTGAATGCATAACATCCGATATCCGTTTGTCTCTGTCGCCATCTATTTTTTGCACAACTTTTGTGTAAAAAATATACAATATGTATACACTATATATACATGTAATTATAATGTATACAATTACAGATAAATGCACACGGGTAATTACCCCTGTTATCGTATTTATTTATTTCACGGATAATATTGTTAAATATTCGAATTTATTTAAGAAAATTACACATAAAACCGTAATCAGGAATATTGATTTTAATTGTTTGAATATTTTGCGTAGGTAAACTTAGTCGATATCAAGTATTCCTTCTATTGCGTGTGATCGCTTCGCATAACCGATATAATGTGCGAAATATGCAAAAAATTAACAAAAATTCTTTAATTATTATTTCATATATTTGTTACATAAATTTGTTACATAAATTTAAATATTTAATAATAATGATACAGTGCGCGTCTATTTATACGTTATTACACAAATAACATGCATTTTGTATTGTAGGTACTCGAGTTGTGTTAAAACTAGACGTGATAAAGACAAACGGATTTCGGATTTGAATTCCTATCATAAATGCCTATAAACAGGTAAACAAATTACCGGAATGTTTTGAAAATTTGACGACTCTCTAGAAAAGGCCAATATAACAGAATACTTCAGTAATAAATAACGTTTTATAAATTACTTTCTATAGTAAGTAAAAAATACTTTTCTGTGGAAAGGGTCTTAACAATTATAGCTAACATAATTACAAAGAAACAATAAAATTGATAATAATGAAACCGCTATTTCCGTAAACTTTCTCGTTTTTCCCAGGTTTACCGAGTCATTCATAAAACGACCCCTTATCCATCCACTTAATCCAAAACAAAAAATGCAATTTTGTCATTATTGATTGGAGCAAGATTTCTGGTAGAAAAGTTGTTTATAGACATAAAAACCAAACACGCAGTAATACTAATACTTTCCTCCCTAGACTCAGAATCTAAAAATGTATTCATATATATTTTATATCTGCCATAGTCTAATGTTGGTATTTAACATCCCAGGGTTGGCTGGGTCATCTGGGTTTACATCCCAGAAATCGCAAGTTCAAACCCGAATTCCGTACAAAATTTAAAAATATATATTATAATATATTTTTTAGGACTGTTATTTTATGATAATCGAACTTTAAGTTTTAACGATTTACTGACAATTTAATTTGAAAAATATTTCCGCTATAATTAATATTTTAATATTCGAGTACCTACTAAAACTAAATAGACCGTGTTATGTAATTAAAATCGATTTCACCGATTGGGGTTTGCATTATTTTTATTATTTTTTAGATTCCAAGGGTAACGAGGGAGCTATTAGTTTTACCAAGATATTTGTTTATTTTCTTTCTTTTTTTCTTTGTTTTAGTTTTTCCTTAGTAAACTTGCTCCGGTGTTTACGTGTAGCATTTTTTTTGAAAGCTCAAGTTGTCTAAATTGTACATTAAACACGTCATTTTTTAATTTTCAACGCCATTTTTTAAATAAAAGCACTTAAGTGGAAAAATCGTAGGAAAAGGTAATTTTTCACGATTTCATTATTTTATAAAAACACAGACGATGTATAATATCAGAAAAAATAATTTAATCGAAAAATTACTACAGACTTTTTTTGTTGCCTTTTTGATTTAATTTCATACGGTATCATCACCAGAACTTTTAAGCCACTTTTAAGCATTTAATGAATTTCAATTTGTGGGAGTTTGTTTGCTGTAATTCAGTTATAAATACACGTAGAGACTTGAAACTTAGTAATTATACATATATTGGACTCACCTAGACGTGGTAAAATTGTTAAAATCATCAGACGACTTTTTTTTTTTTAATAAGCGTTTTGAAATAAAATTTAAAAGAAAATCACAAAAAAAAAATTACGGCTTTTCAAAATCATGTATTACCGAACTGCGCTCGGAATCGTCTTTTGTCAAGCAATGGTTTATCGTATAAATGAAATAACCTTATGTATTCTACCTTCTCAATTTCTCACCCACAACAGTGACCGCTCCCATCCCCAGTATCAGCTCTTCTTTTTAACATATTATTGTTAAAATCACGTTCATTTTCAGCTATTATGAATATATCGTTTGAGAATTTTAGTTGGATCGTAAATAGGACGCTTAAATATAATTCATATTAATAAAAAGAAACGTGTCTGTCTGTCTGTTCGTTTTTCTGTGCATGATGTACAGCCGATCTAACACACACAGAGGTCTGACACACGGAAGTAGATGCTGATGTTCTGTATGCACCTCGAATTCAAATTTCCAAAATCACTAAGGATTATCTAGAAGGTTGCTGACATAAAACATTGATAATTTCGGAACGAAAATTGAAGGGTTTTTTTGTTGATTTATGGGTTACACTGGTGACACGAATGAAAAAAAAAACAGTTATTCTTTATTAATTTTTGGTTGTCACGGGTAAGGAAGTACCCTTAAAAAAAATTTAAATTACTGAAAAACAAAGGTTAACTGTGACTGGGACTTGAAAGTCACAAGTTAAGACTTCAAAATGTTTTAGAGATGAGGGAAATTGAGTGTGGGATTTTTTTTTTTTTGGTTTTAATAAACTTCTTTATACATTTAATATGTATACCTAGGTTTGTTTTTCTAATTAAAGTAATAAAGATAAAAATATGTTTGCGAAACTACCAAATTGGTTAACCAGGTACGTTCTACATGAAAATCATTGTTTAGTATTGCATAGTTCTAGGTGTAGCAATGAAGCTATTATTTATACTAAAATATTTATTTTTTATATATATATATCAGTTTTATTTTTGTTGATTTCTTTTGTTTATTATTAAAATACACAGTGTATATTATTACACGCTATCAGCTAGCGATGAAATACACTCATTTTTCCCTAGATGATAAAAACATAAAAATAAAACGACCGAGAATTCTAGGTCTAATAAGTATACCGACTTTGGTGTATCATAAGAATCTCCCCAACACCAAACCGTCCAAACCTGATACTGTTCAAAAAAAGTTATTGTCACGACTGTAAACCTAAAACCTTCTGTAGTTAAAAAATCGCATAGGGTGTAAATAAATCAAAGGTAGACGCTATTTAAATAGTTAAAAGTTAAGTTATGAGTTATTTTTAGATTCGGAGTGTAGCGAGGAATGTATTGGTTTCAAAATTATGTTTATTTCTTTTTTTATCTGTGTTGCCAATTATTTAAATTCAATAGTGTTTGTTATATTTTTCAAGTAAATTATCAAAAGATTCATCCGAGCAGTTTGTATTAACAATATTATGTATATTCGAATATCAATTATAATAGTTGTATAGATAGCGTAGACAAGTACTACTAGAGAGTAGACTGCGTACAATGTTATACGCAGTTTTTAGTGTTTTTATCAAAATTATAACAGAATTCTCGGTTATCAACACAAATCGATTTATAATAATAACATAAATAAAACGGATTGTAATCTAATGAACCCGCGGTTCCATTTGTTCCGATGGTTCTATTTGTTTTTAGCGGGCTGTTCGGTGTGAACCATATCGAACATTCCTAACCACAAAATACGTCAGCGACCGACAGCGCTTTTGCGGCAACGCGGAAAACGTATTTGTTTGTTTTTTTTTTGTTTTCCTCGTTAAAAGGAAATATCGTGACAGGCTGGAGGGTACCTATATTGGAAGTTGTCCGATCTTATCATTGAAGACCGCGCGTATCGAACGATTCCACGACCGTATTAATGATGTTACGCGGTGTTTATTTTTGCGATTATACGCGCGTATTAGGCGCACACCATATATTTGATGACATACGGTAAACAACGTTGGCCGTCGACCGTTTTCAGTCGCTAATAAGAGCAACGGCGCCAAACGTCGAGCCGCGCTGTTATCGCACGCGGCGGCGGTCTAATGGTATTGTTTTATTGGCCGCGATAATTGAAGCGGTTCACCCGCGCGACAAAAACGCTTTCTCGGTCCGGGGCGTCGCGCGGTCCATACGGCAGCGGCCCAATATTAATTTCGCCGTTATTTATTGTCACGTTAGGTTGTTTACTGCACGGAGAGGGGGGACTGGGGGAGACGGCGATTGGGTAGTCGGCGCACTCCTAGTCCGCAACTTCGCGAGTACCGTCCCTCGGGGCGCGTGACAAGCGCGTCAGCTGTGAAAAGCGAATTTTCGAAAAATCGACGACATTTTCACATTTTTTTATTTTTTTTCTTCACATACATTCGGTGAAATCAACTGGTACAAATTGAGTTTTATGGCCGTTGCGCGTTTGTGTAAAAACGTAAATCTCTAAAACATCTCTATTTTAAATACGATTGTTAATGTTTTACTGTACATTTGCGTATTAGTAATTATTCACGTGTACACAAAATGTATGCAGCAGCAATTAACCAGTAACTGATCCGGGGTTTGATCGAGTGGGGGGAAGGGTGAATTTATGTACACATAAACATACATAACCTCAGCCCGAGGGGTGGGGGAGGAGGCGACCGCCCAATCACCTATCCCCCCATCAAATCTGTCACTGCAGTTAACACGAACCGACTGCAACTGCATTTAATATTCAGATTAACATACCTTCACGTGTATTTTCGTTGGTGTAGTTTTTATCAACGGCACCACGATTTATTCTCTTTAGTGATTTTTGAATATCGAAAAAAACTGAAACAAAAACGTGTAACCACGAAATTTTAAAATCGATTTTTTACTACTTATAACCTCCGTAATTGAGGACAGCGGAATATAAAAACTAACAAAACTGCATTGCTATAATCTCGTTTTTAAACATTTTGTATTTACTGCACTTCCACTACGAGGGCAGTATAGGCAGAATTTCTTAAAAAACATTCTTAGACTTAGGTTATTTTGTACATTTAATATTAATTTAATTAAAACTACGATAGGTATATGATATTATGATGTTCCGTGATTAAATGTAGTGCGATATTATAAACTCTAAGTAAAGCGTGGAATATATTGGTTTTACGATGATGTGTTGTGGTTATTTTTTTGCATATGACTGTAAAACAACTATTGTATCGAAAATCTTGCTCCAATCAAAAGCTTGATAGGAGTTTTCATGTAGAATTTTTGAATCGGCGTGTGTATTGATGAGGCCATTTTTTTTCCTTTTACTTGTAACTCTCTTAATAAATGGAAAAAACTGGAAATTATATAAATCGTTTTTATTTACCTTTGTTGATATTTTTACAATTTTTACGAAGTTCATCGACCATTTTTTTGAACCTTTAAATTTTATCAAAAGAAAAAAATGTATAGAATCGCGGTGATCATTTTTGTTTTTTTACTATAGTATGATGTTCCTTGATTAAATTTTTGAACATAAATAGTCAAACATTAAATATTGACGTAAAAAAAAAAAACAGACAATTTCAAATAGGTTAATATCTAATACGGCAAGTAGTAAATAAAATACAGAGTGATTTTTTTCGTCACGAATGACAATTTTCTTGGGTGATTTTAAGTGTATTTGTTTCTTGTTTTTTTTTTTTTATCAATGTGGAAGCGTTTCAGCTTTATTTTAAAATTATTTTTAATTTTTACACCTCATTCTATGTACCTTAAATAAGTATATGCTTTTGTTTTTTAAATAAGAACCCCGTTTTAAAACAAAGATTCGAATGGAGAATATTTTTCTAGACATTTTGATATGCATAAAATTAATATCAGATTTACCCTTCATGAATTATAACCTTTTAAACTGTATACCGAATGAGTAAGAAATGGGTAATAAATTGAATATCTATTTTCAAATGATAAATCAATACTCTTCCCTACTTTTCTGGTCTAAACTTAAACCGGTTATAACTCATAAACTGTAAATCTGACACAAGTGTTATGCATAACAAAATTTCTAAAAAAATATTCTCCATTCGAATCTATTTTTCAATGGAGGGTTTCTGTTTGAAAAACAAAATTATATACTTATTTAAGGTGTATCTTAAGTGTGGGTAAAAAATTTAAAATGTTTTTAAAATAAAAAATGAACGATTTCACAATAGTTAAAAATATAACAGATAACAAATTCACATAAAATCCCTCGAAAATATTACTGGTTTATGATGAAAAAAAATATAAAGCTATATTAGGATAATAGGGATGGGTGCAGCCATTGTTTTTCCGGGTTTTTCACATCTGCTGGGAAAGTTCTTGGGAAAAGCGAAAGCCGATCTCCTTTAAGTACCTTCCAAATTAGATTTCGTTAACTATCGAAGAAAAAGTGCTATTATTGTAAATCGGGAAAAAATTTCTCAAGTGTTGATATATATATTTATGTATTCATAGTTGGCATTTAAGTCGTAACGTGTATTAATTTCCTTACTCTTGAATTATGATTTAAGAATAAAATTATATTATATTTAGGTTTGATGAATTTGGATCATTATCAATTATAGTTTGAATGAATAGACATTCATTGCCTACTATTGTACATAATTTACGATTTTGTGGATGTGTACGCAAATGTACATTGGTTGGAGCGCGATGAAAGAACGTTGTGTTTTTTTTTACCTCTGACGTGACACTGGCGAAACAGCCCACAAGTCGATTTGTGTGCCACTGGCGTGGTATTAACACACCCGTAAGCACGGATATCATCCTAACTCATTTTATAAAAACCATGAATCAAGAGTGGAACATTCAAATCGAATGCCTGTATCGGGTACAATTTTTCACACTCATCTACGGTGAATATATTATATATACGGTGATTCACTAAACGTGTACCATATCTGTTTGTTTATTTTTTTTTTTTTTTTTGTAACATTTTCGAATATTTGGATTTTTCACAATATTTAAAAAATATTCTATAACGATATCAACTTTGATTTTTCAAACTAAAACCTGTATTAAAAATTTCATGAATAGACGGAGCATTACTTTAAATACATTTTAGTGATAACATTTTTGATTTTCGTCAACCCGTTAACGAGATATTCCACTTTTTAATTTAAATAACGGGAGAGTATTGGAGTATAATTTGCGGCCGGCTTTTTATAAGAACTCCACTACTCTTCCAAATTTCCTTTTGGAAAAAGTGCTATCATTGTAAATCGGAGCAAAATTGCTGATAGAAAATTTGTTCATAGGAAAAAAGAAAGCCGTAATAATTTTTAACCAATACCTACATTTCACACATTTACTCGTTTTTCTTCAGTTATTTTTCGGTTTTTTACATTTGTTGAGAAAACTCCTAAGAAAATCGAAAAATGACCACCTTAAAATACCTTCCCAGTCAAATTTCCTTTCAGAAAAAATGCCATCATTATAAATCTGTGAAAGATTTCTGGTAGAAATCTTAACGCACAGATAAAAAAAAAAAATGTATTATTTTTGTAAAACCATAAGCTTCTGCGTTCCACTCAGAATCTAAAACCCACTTTGAACATAAGTGTATACGGTAAGAACGTCTGCGATTTCTTACATCTTACTAATGCCGAGTTAAAACAAAAAGACATCGTCAATTTTTAAATCGTCCCTCCCCCCCCTAACAAGAAAAAAAACTAGGTACGAAGTATTTCAAAAAGTCATCTCACCAATCGATTATAAGATCCAAACTCGTTCTGCTCTGAATATTTCAAATCGAATGGAATCAGAGTAGCAGAATTATAAAGTACTTCTATCAGTGTGTCAGCGAAAATTTAAAAATATCCGGGAGTGAAAAAACTATATCGACGACGGGTATTAAATAAATGCTTATGTTCGAAAGTGTCAAAAGCGGTGCGTCGATATTACATTATATACATTTTATCGCGAACAAAAAATGTCTAATACCTGCTAAACGCGGTACGATAGTCAAATAATATGTCTGTAATCAGTGAATACTAAATTTTTGAAAGCCAAAAACTATTTTAGATGTTAATGTACTCAAAAATATAACGATGAAATAAATGTAAACGACTTATAGACTTCGCACTATGGGTGGGCGGCTGTTGTAGGTGAAAAGTTGGGAAGGTTGGATTTATAGTGAAATTGAATGTATATCTGTACGCAACGATTACTAACATTGCGAACGGAAAACGATTCTGAGCAGAGTTCGGTTATACACGTTTTAAAAGGTCGTAATATTTACGATTATCGTCAATGTTTTGATATTAAAATTCTTATAAAAAAATTCCACATTGCACTCAATTTTTTTTTTGTTTTCAGCACAAAGTACAATTTATTATAAACCTTTTGTTAAATTTCCAAGTATTTTTTGTTAATCAAACAATTGTATCCACAGAGTCCCTACTTATCGAAATTACGAACTTGTAAAATTTAAATATCTATTAATAGCTCAAAAATGGTTAAAATATTTGGAAAATTCGTCTAGAAAATCCAAATTTATATATATATATACTGTCCAAATTTAAAATCTCTACGAATATTTTTAATTAAGTCACAACAACAAAACAAAACAATATAAAAAAAATAATACCTTTTGTAATTTTTCCCGTTTTACACATTTATTTTGAAAGCCTCTTGGAAAATTGAAAAATTACCTGCCTAAAGTATCACCCGAATAAAATTTTCTTTCAGAAAAGATACTACACTTGAAATATCGGAGCAAGATTTCTGGTATAAATTTGCTTACAGAAAAAAAAAATAAAATAAACTTCAATGTAAAACCAATACATACATTGATATGCTCCAAATATAAAATACGAAATTTCTGCTTTGTATTTTTATTTTTTTTTTTTTATATTTTCGTACATCATATTTAGACGACAGTGTGTGTTTTATCAAGGTAGGGTATAGTTGTGTGCTTTGTTTTATCCGGATAAATGGGGAATAAGTTATTCGAGTCGCTATACTTGAGATAAATGTATTCGAAAAAAAAAAGAACCGTGTTAATATTTATCCAATATTTATTAAAAACGATAGGCGAAATATTTAATTTACATCAATGCGATTTTATAGGTTAGTTACAAAATTACATCGATCGCACGTGGAATTTTTGAAATCCAGATGTACCTAAACTCGTACTACTTTAAACGTTTAGTTTTATGATAGGTAATGAACAAAATTATAATTTTTATTATTTTTTTTATGCTCTTTATTATTCTGGCAATTATCTTTCAAAAACACCGCGCACTATACACTATGAAAATATGTAGTGTATAATATTTATTTATTTTATTTTTTTATTATTATTATAAACGATTTGAATCGATCTCTCTGAGTCGATTTTTTTTTTTTTTTGTCTACGGATTTTATAACGTAACAAAAACGTAGTCATTACGAATAAATAATATTTTATTACCTGCAGCTATATTTTCTCCCGGATCGGACACGTGACGGCGCGACCAGAAGTCAAAAAGGATAGTCGACGCCTGTATTGTTAACGATTCGGAGGGGTGGGGGACCGAACGAAATTCAAATTAATCGGGCTGGGAAAAAAAAAAAAAAAAAAAAAATAAACGAAACGAAATTCAAAACCGTTAGCGCGGTGGCGATTGTAACTGTCCGAGATACCAATATTCTACAATGTATACAACGATACGATTACGCCGCGGTAAAAACGCGAGGCGAGACGATAGCGGCGGAGATCGCGCCAAAGGACAGTACGCGTTCGCGGCAACGGAGTTACTGACGGCCGGCCGGCTCGGCGATACGACGCGTTTTCCTTCGCCACCGGAAACCGAAAATATTCATTCGATTCTATGTATAACCGCCGCCGCGGTATACGCAAGCGCCTCCGGACAACGCGCGTGCGACCGGTAACCGCCTACCTATAGGTACACGCGGCGATACCGTAACGCAGGTAACTACACGCGGCTATGACGGTGATGGCGATGATGATGATGATGATGATGATGATAATAATAATAACAATAATAATATCAACAACAATATTTATAGATTTATAGAAATATTCGGCGACGACGAGATCGCGGTGTTGTCACACGAGTCGGTGCGCCGACGGTTTCGCCCGTTATATCGTAAGATGTTATAATTATTACTTTCGTTATTAGGGCCGCCGGGAATTCAATGCCCCTCTCCCCTTTCTCCTCGAAAGTCCGAAAATCCGAAATAACGCGACTAAAAAATTAACCAAAAAAAAAAAAACCATCGATAATAGGTACGGCCGATTGTTTTTGTGGGCTGTTGTATGCGAAAAGATAAATCGTTGACGCGAGAAGTACGTGATTCTAAGCGGAAACGCACCGCGATCTTTACGATTTTCGCAAAAATTTACGGGAAAACTATTAGTTCTAGTTTTTTATTTTTACCCCCAATATTAGTGCAAATTATAACGAACTTCTTGTTAAATCGTCAAGCGTTTCTATTCGGCCAAACAATTTTATCCGCAAAAAACCAAATAAAAACTAAAACACCGGACAATAATATAGCACAATAATCGCCAGAATGTTTTAAACATTTTACTGCGTCTAGACAATTTTAATACAAGTATTCTGTAAAAATTCCCGGTCTCTACAATTATTTTTAACCGAACGACAACAAACTAAACAAAATCAAAAATAGTGAAACCGTCATGACGTATACTTTCCTGATTTTCCTATTTTTTCCCCTAGTTTTCCCTAATACTACAGAAAAATACGAAAGTAATCGAAAACTACACTAACTTCAGAATATACGCTACTCGTGAAATTCGGAGCACAATTTCTTGTAAAAAATAAAATCAAAAATGAAACTTTTATTTCCGTGAATTTGTACGATTTACCTATACGGGTTTTCCTTATTTCTCCAACTACTTAATACTTGTATATAAACTAATTGAAAAATTTTCCTCTCGATCCGAGTTGGATTGAGCCACTGATACACCAGGAAATCTCTCAGTAGCTATACAACTGAGTTAGGAAATTCTGTTAAGATCGGAAGGAGAAAAAGGACTAATCGAGTTTAATATATCACAAGATACAATTTAGTTATTTCAGTAAACTGCAAAAAAAAAATACACAAAAAAGACGGACATACGTGGTTACAGCTATGCTTGTAGGTGAAAATTTAGAATGGTAGAACGGGGGAAATTTAATGTATATCTGATGAAAACGATAAACCACTATTGGCGAAAAAACGTATTCTGAACGGAGTTCAGTTGATAGCTTAGTTCCTTCGTCAATATATGCTATAATATGGTAAAATACTTACATACGCATTACATAGGCATTATATATTTGTACCTATTTTCCCGTTTTTTTCTTTAATTTGATAGGAAAATCGAAAAATTGCCTTTCTTAAAGTGCCTCCCTCATCAGATTTTCTTTTAGAAAAATCGCTGTCATTATAAATCGGAGCAAAATTGCCAAGAGAAAAATGTTCCAAAGATCCAAACATCTTTATAATGTAAAACCATAAGCTTTTTCGCTGCACTTAGAATCTAAAAGTACACATTATAGTTAAATCAAAACTACGCTTAAAATCTAAAATGTAAAGTTAAATGGCCTACTTACATATATTCTCATTCGAAATCGCGTTAAAAGATTATAATTAAAAACAAAAATCCAGAATTTGTAGATTTAACGTCTTACGGATTTCAAAGTTTGAAATGACTTTTTAAAAATGTATGCCGGTACCTGCATATTGATATGAACTGGTAATTTGAAAAAATGTGTTCATACCTCTATGATCGTCATCTTTATAAAATAAAAAAATAAAAAAAACAAATCATCGTCATAATGTACACGAGTATTCGTTTTGAATGTCTGTGAACAGTAATTATATTAACGAAGCGCAACAAACTACGCACAGTAAACTTGTTTGTAAAAATTCTAATTTTCAGAATAATTTTTGTTTTTTAACTCGCGACATTACTGTCAGTGATATACGAACGATACAGATATTAAAATAAATTAGTAAAATGTGCATTCTATAAATCTATGCAAACCGTAGTATCCAAGTGACGTAAGCTCCCAAGGCTATTTCTCATCAACATCTCGTTTTTGAACTTCCTTTTGCATACGTAACGTATGTTAAAAACTTGCGATATTCTATCAACCTTGAACCTACCGTCGGTGTTATTGCTTCAGAGTGCTATAGTAAATATTTTTCAAAATAATTTCGAAATAATAACGATAAATAATTTTTCGAAATGTGTATTTCACCTATTGGCCTGAAAATCAACGGGAATCTTATTTATAGTCTAAGACAGTTTGGCGAAAATCGCGTTCCGAAATTCGCTACCGTATTAGAAATTGAGTGCATAATAACCGGCGGACAAGAACAATTTCATACAGAAAAAATATATATTATACTCTAATTATTAATATGAGACAATTGTTTGTAAATCAGACGATTTGTTTGCACGTACTTTTTATCTCAAAACCTATTAACGGAATTTTCTCATAAATTGGCATTTAACGGGTTTCGCATATAATAGGAATTGGTCCACTGCTTCGATTTTTTTTTTTTTTTTTAATATTTTCGAGACCACACTTGAATATTATCTTAATAAAAGGAACAAAGGAATTTTATTTTATTTCTGGTTTTCCTCGCGGCTCGCCTACACGAATGTAAAAAGAAAAAAAACAAGACATTTTTCTTTGTTTGTACATAATCTGTGTATACGTTATTGTGTTTTTATATTTTTGTGCCCATTACCCTGGTATCGCAATATCAAAATGTTGACTTAAAAATTATCTGGTAATATTTTGTGTATTATTTAACGATGTAGAAACACAAAAAAAAAAAAAAAAAAAAAACCGTATCTAACCGCACTACGACGACAGAAAATCGGCTTGAAAATATGTAAAATTATGTAAGCGAGTTCAAATGTCATGTAAAAATATGTAATACCGACCGTAGCTTAAAACAATCAGATTATCAGATCGCGCAACATAATATGCCCATAACAGAATCATCCGATCATTATCGTCATTCACGACAAATATAATATGCATTTATACATACAAATACCGCGCCCTATTCATAATAGTGTTAATCATATTTTCGCGCGGCTGGAATTAAAACATCATGCCGTGCGAAACGTATCGCGGTTATGTTTTGCGATCAGTCGTCACGAACGCCTATATCGATAATGATCGTCAATACCGAATCGCTAAAAACGAACGCACAATCAGACGCAACCAGACGCGCCAGAGTGGCGTGGAGTTGTTGTCTGTTGAACACGACGACCTGGCCGCATTCGGTCACTTCGCGCAAACACTGCGTGATATCAGAAACCCGCGGACCGGATTCGACGTTTTTGGTTTGTTTCCCGGAATAATACGATTTTCGAAGTTAACACGAACAATGCAGGTAAATTACCGGGCGAATTTTAATCATCGGGTTGTATCAACATTCGTGCGCACATTGAAAATGCGAAAAAATGAAACGTCGTCAAACAAACGAGATACGAACTCTATTTCCACGATTAACCTTTTTTTTTTTTACGAAACGCCCGAACCGTCGGCGAAATCTCGGTCTCTGGACAATATCGCATAATATTGTAACACCGGAAATATCAATAGCGTGGAATTCGACAATATTTTTCAAACGTAATATCGTGAATCGCGTGTCGCATATAGTAATGACGTTATATTATTATTGGAACTTTAGTCCGCAATAATAATAATACGCTGCAGCGTCAGCTTTATTCGATTGAATCCCGGGTGCGACAATGGATCCCGCGGTTATCCGCAAAGTCGCGCGATCTTTCGATATATTATTAGACTACACGCGGAACGGAAACGATATGATTTTTTTTTTTTTTTTTTGTACTTTATTTTTTCTCCGTCGAACGATATATGCGTATTTCCGTTTATCGTCCGGTTTAATTTTCGGTCAACCGTCGTTATTGCCTGGTGCCGTCTACCATAATTGGCCGGGTTCTTCAATAAAACACCGAATACTCGTTCTCGGCAAAGTAATGAAACCTTTTTTTTTTCTTTTTTTTTTTTTATCGTATTTCCTAGTACAGGCGTAAAACATTAATTGTATATACCTTTGGCGACAAATAAAGGGAGCTTTCTTCAGCCGATGTTTGGAAGATTTTTTTTTTTTCCCACTTATTTCCTATAAACGTAGAAACCATGCCCGTGTCTTTGAATGTAATTATAAAATTACCGTAGTCACGGCGGAAAGGCTACTGCGTGTACTACGTTTGACTGGTTTGGTCTCACTTATAATTAAATTTAACCAATTGGCTTATGCAATGAGATACAGATTTTACGTTTTGATTGTAATACACTTATATATTGCAACCACTTGATATAGACGCCAACAGTTTACTAATATTTACACTAAAATATTTAGTTTGTATGTTTCACTATCAATCACGAACGGTTAAACAAAACACCGCACGTTTACGCAGTCGGATGCGTACTTACTTACTCAGTTGAGAATAAACCTGCAAGTGGTCGTCCGCTTTCCACCTAACTTAGTCAGTCAAACAAACTTTGGGCGTACAGATTCAAAAAAAGATAAACAAAATATTATGCAGTATTAATGATATGACATAAATCCGAATGATTCAAAAATGCAAAATATCCGGATTTTGAGAATTCCGATTTTGGATTTTATAGTTATAATTATTTTTTTAATTGCACGATAAGTGACTAAAATAATTCGTCCTGGTTTGCAATTTTGGATTTCGAAAATCCGAAAAAAATGCATTATCGAA